TAAAAATGCGCTGCAATTTTTCAATAAAATAAACTGCTGTTCCAATTGCGCCCACTGGATGGCGCAATAGCAATTGTGTTAAGCAAGCAAACTGTTTATACCAGGGCAGAGCAAGTAGGTCAAGCACGTGCAGCCAATGAGCTACTTTGTTTTGCCTGCGATATTTATTACGGCTTCTACTTTTAACATTATGTGCTTTGGCACCCTCATTGCCCCAATATGTCTCTGTCAAAAAAGAGAAAAGTGGACGCAGAGTGCCTGAGAAATGACACCCTGATATAGTTCTGTGATCTGTGATATACTTCTGTGAATCACTGAGGCATTGTGTGTTTGTGTGTTCTTTGTCCTCAGAACTTTCAAATAACTTGAGGTGTTTTATGATTAATAGTGATGTTGTGCTTTTGGACACTGTCCTCAGGCTCCAGCTTTATGTTTATATGTTTTTATGTTGATGTGCTATTGTTTTTAATTGATTTTATTTTATTTGTATATTTAACCTATTCTTGACTCTGTGGTTCTTGCACTTGTTTGGGGAACAGGATTTCATTATTTTTATCCACATTTCTGCCTGAGAAATGACACCCTGATATAGTTCTGTGATCTGTGAAACAGTTCTGTTAATCACTGAGGCATTGTGTGTTTGTGTGTTGTTTTTCTTTAGAATTTTCAAATAAACTTGACGTGTTTTATGATTAATAGTGATGTTGTGCTTTTACTATTTTGGACACACTGTCCTCAGGCTCCAGCTTTATGTTGTATGTTGATCGTATTAAAACAAAGAAAACAATCTGAAGTTGTTGTTTTTAAGTTATATATACCATGATTTTTCCGGTCCGGCCCACTTGGGAATAGATTTTCCACCATGTGGCCCCTGAGCTAAAATGAGTTTGACACCCCTGCTTTAAGACATGAAGGTCAGTCAATACGGAACATTTCAAGAACTTTGAACGTTTCTTCAAGTGCAGTTGCAAAAACCATCAAGCGCTATGATGAAACTGGCTCTCATGAGGACCGCCACAGGAATGGAAGACCCAGAGTTACCTCTGCTGCAGAGGATAAGTTCATTAGAGTTACCAGCCTCAGAAATTGCAGGCCAAATAAATGCTTCACGGAGTTGAAGTAACAGACACATCTCAACATCAACTGTTCAGAGGTGACTGTGTGAATCAGGCCTTCATGGTCGAATTGCTGCAATGAAACCACTACTAAAGGACAGCAATAATAAGAAGAGACTTGCTTGGGCCAAGAAACACGAGCAATGGACATTAGACCGGTGGAAATTTGTCCTTTGGTCTTTAGTGCAAATTGGAGATGTTTTGTTCCAACCGCCGTGTCTTTGTGAGACACGGTGTGGGTGCACGGATGATCTCCGCATGTATATTTCCCACCGTAAAGCATGGAGGAGAAGGTGTTATGGTGTGGGGGTACTTTGCTGGTGACACTGTCTGTGATTTATTTAGAATTCAAGGCACACTTAACCAGCATGGCTACCACAGCATTCTGCAGCGATACACCATCCCATCTGGTTTGGGCTTAGTGGGACTTTCATTTGTTTTTCAACAGGACAATGACCCAACAAACCTCCAAGCTGTGTAAGGGCTATTTGACCAAGAAGGAGAGTGATGGAGTGCTGCATCCGATGACCTGGCCTCCACAATCCCCTGACCTCAACCAAATTGAGATGGTTTGGGATGAGTCGGACCGCAGAGAGAAGGAAAAGCAGCCAACAAGTGCTCAGCATATGTGGGAACTCCTTCAAGACTGTTGGAAAAGCATGAAGCTGGTTGAGAGAATGCCAAGAGTGTGCAAAGCTGTCATCAAAGCAAAAGGTGGCTATTTGAAGAATCTCAAATATAAAATATATTTTGATTTGTTTAACACTTTTTTGGTTACTACATGATTCCATATGTGTTATTTCATAGGTTTGATGTCCTCACTATAGGTCTACAATGTAGAAAATAGTAAAAATAAAGAAAAACCCTTGAATGAGAAGGTGTGTCCAAACTTTTGACTGGTACTCTTTGTCAGAGCAAAAACCAAGCCATGAAGTCGTAGGAATTGTCCGTAGTGCTCCGAGAAAGGATTGTGTTGAGGCACAGATCTGGGGATGGGTACCAAAATAAATTCTGCAGCATTGAAGGTCCCCAAGAACACAGTGGCCTCCATCATTCTTAAATGGAAGAAGTTTGGAACCACCAAGACTCTTCCTAGAGCTGGCCACCCGGCCAAACTGAGCAATCGGGGGAGAAGGGCCTTGGTCAGGAAGGTGACCAAGAACCCAATGGTCACTCTGACAGAGCTCTAGAGTTCCTCTGTGGAGATGGGAGAACCTTCCAGAAGAACAACCATCTCTGCAGCACTCCACCAATAAGGCCTTTATGGTAAAGTGGCCAGACAGAAGCCAGTCCTCAGTAAAAGGCACATGACAGCCCGCTTGGAGTTTGCCAAAAGGCACCTAAAGACTCTCAGACCATGAGAAACAAGATTCTCTGGTCTGATGAAACCAATATTGAACTCGTTGGCCTGAATGCCAAGCGTCACATCTGGAGGAAACCTGGCACCATCCTTATGGTGAAGCATGGTGATGTGTTATTTCATAGTTTTGATGTCTTCACTATTATTCTACAATGTAGAAAATTGTACAAATAAAGAAAAACCCTTGAATGATTAGGTGTATCCAAACTTTTGACTGGTACCGTAGGATCTGTCCATATAATCATATTCCTAATGATCTACAAGCCAAAACTGTTCCTAGATCAGCACTTCTACTCTGAGAGGCTTTGTGGATACAGCACTGGCCCTGGGCTACAGCGGTTAACTGAATCAACTCTCAACAACTGATCTTGTGTTAAGTATGCATGTATATTGGACTGCAGTGCACCATAAAACAAATACACAATTGTCTTTTTTTTCTATTATTTAAAACAGGCAATTAATGGTGTGTAAAACAAAATTGCAAACTGACATAAAATGAATGACAAGAAATGTGCTGATGAAAAGTATGTTTAACCAATAGGAATATAACTTTTTATTATATATTTTTAAAGACAGGTCTTTCATTTGTCTCTTTATTTACATAGTTCTATGCACATTAGACTTTACAGTATAATACTTTCACATGATGCATTAGATACTGATATAGTTTCATGCCACACTTTGAGGAACTGTACAAAATCTCTTTCGAAATGTTTAGATGGAGGACTAATTGTTTATACAGTTAAGTTACTCTACCAGCACACAATGCAAACGTTGAATACTTGAACTGTTATGAAACACTGATAAAAAAAAGAGGTAATTGCATAGACTGTTACTCTAAAATGACTTGTGAACCCTGCAATATGTCAGTCATTGCATCAGTTTGATCAGCCAAGTGCTATTGAACATGCCATGTCAAAGAAGCTAACATTGAGCTCAAGCATTTCTTAATTGATTTCATCTCAGCTATCTGCGTGTGCGTCAAATGTGGACTACTATATGATTTGATGCACTCCCATGACATTCAAGTTAAAAAAACTCGGATTATTTTAAAAGATTACAGTGCCTTGCAAAAGTATTCATCTCCCTTGGTGTTTTTCCTATTTTGTTGCATTACAACCTGTAATTTAAATTGATTTTTATTTGGATTTCATGTAATAGACATACACAAAATAGTCCAAATTGGTGAAGTGAAATAACTTGTTTCAAACATTTCTAAAAGTGGTGCATGCATATGTATTCACCCCCTTTGCTATGAAGCCCCTAAATAATATCTGGTGCAACCAATTACCTTCAGAAGTCACATAATTAGTTAAATAAAGTCCACCTGTGTGCAATCTAAGTGTCACATGATTTCAGTATATATACACCTGTTCTGAAGGCCCCAGAGACTGCAACACCACTAAGCTAGGGGCACCACCAAGCAAGCGGCACCATGAAGACCAAGGAGCTCTCCAAACAGGTCAGGGACAAAGTTGTGGAGAAATACAGATCAGGGTTAGGTTATAAAAAAATATCTGAAACTTTGAACATCCCACGGAGCACCATTAAATCCATTATTAAAAAATTGAAAGAATATGGCAACACAACAAACCTGCCAAGAGAGGGCCTCCCACCAAAACTCACAGTCCAGGCAAGGAGGGCATTAATCAGAGAGGCAACAAAGAGACCAAAGAAAACCCTGAAGGAGCTGCAAAACTCCACAATGGAGATTGGAGTATCTGTTCATAGGACCACTTTAAGCCGTACACTCCACAGAGCTGGGCTTTACGGAAGAGTGGCCAGAAAAAAGCTGTTGCTTAAAGACAAAAATACACAAACATTTGGTGTTTGCCAAAAGGCATGTGGGAGACTCCCCAAACATATGGAAGAAGGTACTCTGGTCAGATGAGACTAAAATTGAGCTTTTTGGCCATCAAGGAAAATGCTATGTCTGGCCCAAACTCAACACCTCTCATCACCACAGTGAAGCATGGTGGTGGCAGCATCATGCTGTGGGGATGTTTTTCATCGGCAGGGACTGGGAAACTGGTCAGAATTGAAGGAATGATGGATGGCGCTAAATACAGGGAAATGATTGAGGAAACCTGTTTCAGTCTTCCAGAGATTTGAGACGGGGATGGAGGTTCACCTTCCAGCAGGACAATGACCCTAAGCATACTGCTAAAGCAACACTCGAGTGGTTTAAGGGGAAACATTTAAATGTCTTGGAATGGCCTAGTCAAAGCCCAGACCTCAATCCAATTGAGAATCTGTGGTATGACTTAAAGATTGCTGTACACCAGCGGAACCCATCCAACTTGAAGGAGCAGTTTTGCCTTGAAGAATGAACAAAAGTCCCAGTGGCTAGATGTGCCAAGCTTATAGAGACATACACCAAGAGACTTGCAGCTGTAATTGTGTTTTTATTCTTGTTTGTTTCACACAAAAAAATATTGTGCATCTTCAAAGTGTTAGGCATGTTTTGTAAATCAAATTATACAAACCCCCCCAAAATCAATTTTAATTCCAGGTTGTAAGGCAACAAAATAGGAAAAATGCCAAGTGGGGTGAATAATTTCGCAAGCCACTGTAAATATTGGGGAAATAGCAAAAAAATCACTAAAATGCTAAAAATCCCCAGGTAAGGCTGTCTAGGCAATGAGACAAGTGGTTTTTAATCTTTCATCAGTGTGAGGCCCTGCTGATGATTGCTTGAACAGAAATGGTTAATTAGGCAGAAATCATCTAAAGCAGTTCATACAGCATATAGATTTAGCTTTCAATACTGATAACAGTTGATGCGCTGAAAGTGACAGCAATCATGAAGTATTATTGTTACCCTCCCATGTGGTTGGTGTTTGCGGCATGTTATTCAGACAATCATTGGGCCATCAGACTTCTGTTGTTAGCTCTGAGATCTTGATGTTGACAAACAGAGAAAACAGAGGGATTACCGTCCCATCTTTGGAAAGAAGGTGGATATGGCGATATCCTGTGAAGAGTGGGGAGAGGAGCCAGAAGAAATTCAGCTTGTTGTCATGGAGAACCACTTGGAAACCATCACTCATACAGTAAAATATGTACATTTGTACATAACAGGCTTAAATTAAAACACTCCGCAGTGATATTTTTTTACCTTTATTTAACTAGGCATGTCAGTTAAGAAACAAATTCTTATTTACAATGATGGCCTACCAAAAGGCAAAAGGACTCCTGCGGGTTAGGGGGATGGGATTAAAAATGTAAATATAGGACAAAACACATATCACGACAATTAATCAATTGATTTAACCTTTATCCAGGTAAGTCAATAGGATCAAATTATTTTTGTACAATAATTTGAAGAAAACTGCAATTGCCATTTACCCAGTTGTCCAGACTTCACCACAGGTGTAATATGAAAAGGTCAATCTTACCTGGCTGAATACAGGTGAAGGACACAGTGAACTGGCCCAAGAAGTCGTTCCTGGAGGCCTTGTCATAGTCCTCCACCACAAAACGCACCAAGGCCAACTCAGGGACATGGACGATAAAATTGAGGGTCTCGTTCCACAGTGGGTTAAAACCTGTAGGCAGGTGGCAGCAGAGACCAGGTTTTAGACAGCCAAGAGAAGTACAGAGGTTCTATGTCGTGTTCTATCTAATTCACTAAAACATGGCATGGTGTATATTTATAATTATTTTTTTACAGACAGTACCAGTCAAAAGTTTGGACACACCTACTCATTCAAGCGTTTTTCTTTATTTTTACTATTTTCTACATTGTAGAATAATAGTGAAGACATCAAACTATGAAATAACACATATGGAATCATTTAGTAACCAAAAAAGTGTTAAACAAATCAAAATATATTTTATATTTGAGATTCTTCAAAGTAGCCACCCATTGCCTTGATGACAGCTTTGCACACTCTTGGCTTTCTCTCAACCAGCTTCATGAGGTAGCCACCTGGAATGCATTTCAATTAACAGGTGTGCCTTGTTAAAAGTTAATTTGTGGAATTTCTTTCCTTCTTAATGCGTTTGAGCCAATCAGTTGTGTAGTGACAAGGTAGGGTTGGTATACAGAAGATAGCCCTATTTGGTAAAAGACCAAGTCCATATTATGGCAAGAACAGCTCAAATAAGCAAAGAGAAATGACAGTCCATCATTACTTTAAGACATGAAGGTCAGTCAATCCGGAACATTTCAAGAACTTTGAAAGTGCAGTCCAAAAACCATCAAGCGCTATGATGAAACTGGCTCTCATGAGGACCGCCACAGGAATGGAAGACCCAGAGTTACCTCTGCTGCAGAGGATAAGTTCATTAGAGTTACCAGCCTCAGAAATCGGCAATTACCTGCACCTCAGATTGCAGCCCAAATAAATGCTTCACAGAGTTCACGTAACAGACACATTTCAACATCACCTGTTCAGAGGAGACTATGTGAATCAGGCCTTCATGGTCAAATTGCTGCAAAGAAACCACTGCTAAAGGACACCAGTAAGAAGAAGAGACTTGCTTGGGCCAAGAAACACGAGCAATAGACATTAAACCGGTGGAAATCTGTCCTTTGGTTTGATGAGTCCAAATGTGATATTTTTGGTTCCAACTGCTGTGTCTTTGTGAGATGCAGAGTAGGTGAACGGATGATCTCCGCATGTGTGGTTCCCACCGTGAAGCATGGAGGAGGAGGTGTGATGGTGTGGGGGTGCTTTGCTGGTGACACTGTCTGTGAGTTATTTAGAATTCAAGGCACACTTAACCAGCATGGCTACCACAGCATTCTGCAGCGATACGCCATCCTGTAAGGTTCTGTATTTATTTTCTTAGTCAACTTTGTGTTCTTGAACGTAGCCCTGTTTCTTTGTGTTCTTGAACGTAGCCCTGTCTTTCATTTTTGTTCATTGATTTCACCTGTGTTTGTTACTCACCTGGTCTCATTAGCTCCTTATTTAGTTCAGTTCATTCTGTTTGTGCCTTGTGAGGTATTGTTCATTTTGACTCTACTAAGCCTTTTCCTAGCTCGTTTGTGAGAACCAGTTATAGCCTTCAGCCCTAGTTTTTGATTCTCCTGCCTGTTTGCCTACCTGTGTATGACCATTGCCTGCCTGTGACCACGATTCCTGCCTTTTGCGAAGGCGAAATAAACACCTGCCGCGCTCTGCACGTGAATCTACACCTTTTTTCCCCCTGAGTTTTCATTACACATCCCATCTGGTTTGGGCTTAGTGGGACTATCATTTGTTTTTCAACAGGACAATGACCCAACACACCTCCAGGCTGTGTAAGGGCTATTTGACCAAGAAGGAGAGTGATGGAGTGCTGCATCAGATGACCTGGCCTCCACAATCCACCGACCTCAACCAATTTGAGATGGTTTGGGATGAGTCGGACCGCAGAGTGAAGGAAAAGCAGCCAACAAGTGCTCAGCATATGTGGGAACTCCTTTAAGACTGTTGGAAAAGCATTCCAGGTAAAGCTGGTTGAGAGAATGCCAAGAGTGTGCAAAGCTGTCATCAAGGCAAAGGGTGGCTATTTGAAGAATCTCAAATATAAAATCTATTTTTATTTGTTTAACATTTTGTTGGTTATTACATGATTCCATATGTGTTATTTCATAGTTTTGATGTCTTCACTATTATTCTACAAGGTAGAAAATAGTGAAAATAAAGAAAAACCCTTGAATGAGTAGGTGTGTCCAAACTTTTAACTGGTAAAGTATATTTGTTTAAGTCTTTGTTTATTGGATAGAGAGAGATGAAAGATAGAGGTGAGTGTGTTGAAATATCATTGGGCCGGATTGGAACCCATGCTGCAGCGGTTCATGTGCACTGGAAGAAGCGGATTAGACTGCTAGACCACCTTAGGCCACAAATGCATGCATTTTAGTCCAGGAGTAGGCTGGGTCTGTACAAAGACCCCAATTAATGTGTTTTGCCAGTCCTTGAAAACTGGTCCCTCACCGTTGTTGTCAATGTAACTAGTCTCTTGCTTGGCTTGGTCTTGAAATACTCCGTAGATCTCCACTCTAACCAAAGGGTCAACGATAGAGCCCTCCTTCTGGTTCACCTTTGGTAGCTGCTGCCCACTGATCACCTGATGGACACACACACGCACATAAAATCAAAACTCGGACAAGGATACACACTCAAAGACATAGCAAACGAAACCGCCAAAACACACATCCTGCACAGGCACACTACATAACACAACAGATAGTTGTATGATACAGTGAAGTTGTTTCTGGACCTGGATAGACAGGCGGAGTGATGTGTAACCATCCCGGTCCTGGGGTCTCTCTGGGTCAAAAAAGTCATAATTCCTCATGAAGTCAGGTTTGAGGACGTAGCCACAGCAGCCGTTCTGACTGAAGAGCCCATCGTTCAGATCCATCTCTAGCCCCGCCGTCTGGAAGTTCAGAGCCACTAGGAGAACATCAAATAAATCTATATAGCCCTTTTCACAAATTTGTCACAAAGTGAAGAAGAGTGAGGAGACAATGTGTTTGTAGTCTCTAACTCTCCTTGGCTTGCACCCTGTTTCTCTCCAGACATATCTATAGTATGTGTTACCTTGTCATTTCTGGCAGTAAACCTTTTCTTTCTTCCAGCCAGGAAGCAAGCAATGTATGTATGGATGTGTACAATGTGTTTCACCAGGCCTAATTTAACATCTAATTGAAACAACGGGTTCTTAGCACATTTAAGGGAAATTGTCTTGGACAGATAGTATATAAAAAAACAAATAGTTCAGGCATAGCCCAGCTAGCACATAACGCTCTAAGAACATACATTCTGTTCTCAGAACGTGAAGAAAACATTCCATAAAAACAACAAGAAAACTTTAGTAACGTTCGAAGAATGTTATTTAAAAACATATACATTCCGGTCTCAGCATCAATAAAACTCTCTCTATCCTCTATCTTGTTAAGTGTGTTCAGGTGTGTTGGCCTCGCCCACTAATTGGCCACACCTGATCTTTTTAAATTTAATTTTATTGAATATTTAAAACATACAATCTACTTGCAGTGAAGCCGCTCAACATCTACATCACATTAGTCATCTAACAGACTCCCATCCAGAGCGACCCACAGCAGCAACCAGGATCAAAGCCCTGCTCAAGGGCACGTCGACAGATCTCCCACAAGGTCAAAAAACGGGGATCCGAACCAGCGACCTATCAGCCACCGGCCCAAGCTCCCAACCACCAGGCCACCAGCCCTCCAAGATCCCCCCCACAGTTCTCCGAGAGCTGCCCCTTCCACTTATCTCCAATTCTACATCCCAACCCTCAGCTTCCCTCAGCCCATCCCACCTCTCTCTGCTGGCCACCCTCTTCGGATTTCTACGCACCATATACAGTGGGGGAAAAAAGTATTTAGTCAGCCACCAATTGTGCAAGTTCTCCCACTTAAAAAGATGAGAGAGGCCTGTAATTTTCATCATAGGTACACGTCAACTATGACAGACAAAATGAGATTTTTTTTCTCCAGAAAATCACATTGTAGGATTTTTAATGAATTTATCTGCAAATTATGGTGGAAAATAAGTATATGGTCAATAATAAAAGTTTCTCAATACTTTGTTATATACCCTTTGTTGGCAATGACACAGGTCAAACGTTTTCTGTAAGTCTTCACAAGGTTTTCACACACTGTTGCTGGTATTTTGGCCCATTCCTCCATGCAGATCTCCTCTAGAGCAGTGATGTTTTGGGGCTGTCGCTGGGCAACAAGGACTTTCAACTCCCCCCAAAGATTTTCTATGGGGTTGAGATCTGGAGACTGGCTAGGCCACTCTAGGACCTTGAAATGCTTCTTACGAAGCCACTCCTTCGTTGCCCGGGCGGTGTGTTTGGGATCATTGTCATGCTGAAAGACCCAGCCACGTTTCATCTTCAATGCCCTTGCTGATGGAAGGAGGTTTTCACTCAAAATCTCACGATACATGGCCCCATTCATTCTTTCCTTTACACGGATCAGTCGTCCTGGTCCCTTTGCAGAAAAACAGCCCCAAAGCATGATGTTTCCACCCCCATGCTTCACAGTAGGTATGGCGTTCTTTGGATGCAACTCAGCATTCTTTGTCCTCCAAACACGACGAGTTGAGTTTTTACCAAAAAGTTATATTTTGGTTTCATCTGACCATATGACATTCTCCCAATCCTCTTCTGGATCATCCAAATGCACATGTACTGGCTTAAGCAGGGGGACACGTCTTGCACTGCAGGATTTGAGTCCCTGGCGGCGTAGTGTGTTACTGATGGTAGGCTTTGTTACTTTGGTCCCAGCTCTCTGCAGGTCATTCACTAGGTCCCCCCCCGTGTGGTTCTGGGATTTTTGCTCACCGTTCTTGTGATCATTTTGACCCCACAGAGTGAGATCTTGCGTGGAGCCCCAGATCGAGGGAGATTATCAGTGGTCTTGTATGTCTTCCATTTCCTAATAATTGCTCCCACAGTTGATTTCTTCAAACCAAGCTGCTTACCTATTGCAGATTCAGTCTTCCCAGCCTGGTGCAGGTCTACAATTTTGTTTCTGGTGTCCTTTGACAGCTCTTTGGTCTTGGCCATAGTGGAGTTTGGAGTGTGACTGTTTGAGGTTGTGGACAGGTGTCTTTTATACTGATAACAAGTTCAAACAGGTGCCATTAATACAGGTAACGAGTGGAGGACAGAGGAGCCTCTTAAAGAAGAAGTTACAGGTCTGTGAGAGCCAGAAATCTTGCTTGTTTGTAGGTGACCAAATACTTATTTTCCACCATAATTTGCAAATAAATTCATTAAAAATCCTACAATGTGATTTTCTGGAGAAAAAAAATCTCATTTTGTCTGTCATAGTAGACGTGTACCTATGATGAAAATTACAGGCCTCTCTCATCTTTTTAAGTGGGAGAACTTGCACAATTGGTGGCTGACTAAATACTTTTTTCCCCCACTGTATCTTTCAACTATGCTGTGATGTTTAACATACAGTTTTAATCTATCTAATCAAATAGAATCCACAGATTGCGAGTTGAAGATAAATACTTTTACTAAGAGTATTAGTATATTAGTAATTGACTGACCAGGTCTCTCCAGATCTCCCAACAATGTTATTTCTAAGGTTAATGTTAGATGAATGTTATGCTTTTTCAACCATTCCTGAACCTGAGACCAGAAGCAGGCTACCTGAGGGCAATACCAAAACAATAATTTTTGAATCTTGTGTCGTTTTATATATCAACATAAAAATGTCACATGCGCCGAATTCAACAGGTGTAGACCTTACAGTGAAATGCTTACTTAAAAGCCCTTAACCAACAATGCAGTTTTAAGAAAAATAAGTGTTAAGAAAGTATTTACTAAAATAAACGGAGGAAAAAAATAGGTCAGTAAAAAAAAAAGATAAGAAAAAGAGAAAAATAACAAATAATTAAAGAGCAACAATAGAATAACAGTAGCGAGGCTATATACAGAGGGTACCGGTACAGAGTCAATGTGCGGGGGCATAGGTTAGTTGAGGTAATATGTACATGTAGGTAGAGGTAAAGTGACCATGCATAGATAATAAACCGAGAGTAGCAGCAGCGTAAAAAGAGGGGGTGGGGGACAATGCAAATAGTCCGGGTAGCCAGCGCTTTACCTGTCTGATATCAGCTCGCTTGCGCTCAGATGGGAGGGGTGGAAATATTTGAGGTGTTTCCTTAAGAACGTGATACAAAGTTCTCATTTCAGGCAGGGCTAGTATTTATTTATTTATTTCACCTTTATTTAACCAGGTAAGCCAGTTGAGAACAAGTTCTCATTTGTTTGGAGGTTTGTTAACACAGTGTCCAATGAAGAGCCAGATGTATACAAAATGGTGTCGTCCGCATAGAGGTGGATCCGAGCGTCACCAGCAGCAAGAGCGACATCATTGATATACACAGAGAATAGAGTCGGCCCGAGAATTGAACCCTGTGGCACCCCCATAGAGACAGCCAGAGGTCCAGACAACAGGCCCTCCGATTTGACACATTGAACTCTATCTGAGAAGTAGTTGGTGAACCAGGCGAGGCAGTCATTAGAGAAACCAAGGCTATTTAGTCTGCCAATAAGAATGCGGTGGTTGACAGAGTCGAAAGCCTTGGCCAGGTCGATGAAGACGGCTGCGCAGTACTGTCTTTTTAATGGATCGCAGTTATAATATCGTTTAGGACCTTGAGTGTGGCTGAGGTGCACCCATGACCAGCTCGGAAACCGGATTGCATAGCGGAGAAGGTACGGTGGGATTCGAAATGGTCGGTGATCTGTTTGTTAACTTGGCTTTCAAATACTTTCGAAAGGCAGGGCAGGATGGATATAGGTCTGTAACAGTTTGGATCTAGAGTGTTACCCCCTTTGAAGAGGGGGATGACCGCGGCAGCTTTCCATTCTCTGGGAATCTCAGACGTTACGAAAGAAAGGTTGAACAGGCTAGTAATAGGGGTTGCGACAATTTCGGCGCCTAATTTTAGAAAGAAAGGGTCCAGATTGTCTAGCCCAGCTGATTTGTAGGGGTCCAGATTTTTCAGCTCTTTCAGAACATCAGCTGTCTGAATTTGTGTGAAGGAAAAGCGGGGTGGGCATGGGCAAGTTGCAGCGGAGGGTGCAGAGCTGGTGGCCGGGGTAGTGGTAGCCAGGTGGAAAGCATGGCCAGCCGTAGCATAATGCTTGTTGAAATTCTCGATTATTGTAGATTTATCGGTGGTGACAGTGTGTCCTAGCCTCAGTGCAGTGGGCAGTTGGGAGGAGGTGCTCTTATTTTCCATGGACTTTACAGTGTCCCAAAACTTTTTGGAGTTCATGCTACAGGATGCAAATTTCTGTTTGAAAAAGCTAGCCTTTGCTTTCCTAACTGATTGTGTATATTGGTTCCTGACTTCCCTGAAAAGTTGCATATCGCGGGATGTTTTTGTGCTGGTCAAGGGCAGTCAAGTTTGAGGAGAACCAGGGGCTATATCTGTAGAGATATTTAAGACCAACCAAAAGCTGGTTTTAGCGATAACGCGCTTGGTTATGGCATGAATTTTGACTGCGGAAACACAGCCTATCCAGCCGTGACTCACACTGTCCATATGCGCATGGAACAACAGTTTTTAGAAACATAAAAAACTATAGTTTTTTCCCCATTTCATTTTATTAAAAATCCAAGCATACATTTTACATTTTAGCAGACGCTCTTATCCAGAGCGACTTACAGGAGCAATTAGGGTTAAGTGCATTGCTCAAGGGCACAGACAGATTTCTCACCTAGTCGGCTCGTGGATTAGAACCAGCGACCTTTCAGTTACTGGCACAACGTTCTTATCCACTAAGCTACCTGCCGCCCTAAGCATAGCCTCCCCTCCTCTCAATGAAGGCTGTTTGTTTTTGTGTTGACCAATGCAATCACCAAATAGTCAAGACCGTCGATAAAGGGTTTGGCTGGTGAGACCGCTTGGAAATAAATCTTAATTACCAAAGCTTTATTAAAATATCAAGTTTGAGAAGAGCAAAACAGTGAGCTGACATTCCTTTTTTATCTATGTATTGTAGGAAGGCCCACATTATTTTAGCCATGCAGGTCCCGTTTTGTACGTGCTTAAAACCCCCTCCATGATGTAGGCTACGTGTCCATGCCCATCATGAAATGAGAGATGAGAACCTCGGTGAATACCGGGGAAGCTCGTATTTAGAAGTTATTTTCCTGTAACAATGGCTTGTTTTCCGTTTCATATGTTCAAAACCCAAGCCTGTAGGCTACCCTTCCTACCCTAGGCCTACTATAACGAAGGCTGGTTCAACAGAAATGTGTCTTATCTTTTTTATACTGCCGATTTTATGATATCATTACCTTTATTTATTTATTGTTGTTGTTGTATAAGAAATACAAAAAACGGATTGCTTATTTTTCGTTAAATTTGATTTAAACCAAACTTATTAGAATCCTTCACTGTCCTGGTTTTATGGTGAGAACATCCGTGGCACGTATGCAATGTAACTTCTGGAGAAGTGTGAATGCGATCTGTAAGATGGTTCCAATATGTTTATAAAACAGATTTGGGAGCAGTATAACATTGAGTGGACATTCTCCCTTTCTCTTTATATTGGATCTTTGTCCAGCTACTGTGAAAAGTTTTGATGTGAGTAAAACCCTCCCTAGTCTGTGTTGTTTTAATATGATATGCCCACGGGGAGCAATTATGATGCCTGTAAGTGTATTGGACATTTTTAAAATAAGTTAGGGTTAGGGTTAGTAATTATTCACTGTCTTTTTAGGCCTCATCAGTAATGAATTTAGTCTTGCTTATTGACAACGTTTGGCATTTCCATGCTCAACCATAATACAATTTACAGTAGGCCTAACCCCAATATCAGTGTGAATGCTATGTATATATTTCCATATTGAAGCTATGCAATTACTTAGAACAAAGTGGACTGCAAACAGGTTCAAGTTAACGTATTTAGCAAAGATGGGATAGGTCTACATTTTGTTATTTCGTTTCTGTCAGCTATTTAACAAACTATAATTGACTAACATTGGAATTGGAGTTGATTCCAAGGCAATACATAAAAGACCATAAATACACAACTTGAAGCAACCACATATTTAACAATGGAGCATGTTCTGATTGGCCAGTGAGGGGTCAAGTCTTGACACACCTACTTATTTATTCATCAAAACCCAGCCCTTTCGCACCACCACCATCATACTTGGTTGTGAAAATAGCAACAAATATTTCTGACACACCCCGAACCTATAGCTCTACCGCATTTCCATGTGTCCTATCTGTGCTTGGAGTTCAAAAAAGTTAACCCAGAATAAGCTAACAGTGTTATTACAAATGTTGTTGAAACATTCAATTAAAGTTTTAAGGAAGGCTCCAAATAACCTATAATTCCCGTTCTTGGAGCGTTAATATAACCTCCCAGGAAAACATTCAAGGAACCAGAGTAAATGTTCTCAGAACCTCCCTGCAACCTAAAAATAAACTTTCCCAGGACGGGCAACATTTTTACTTCTGTTCTCAGAACATTTTAAAAACATTCCGTTTTACAGGTCAGTAAACGTATGACTTCCTTCCCAGAACCAATGGGAAACCAAAAGTGCTAGCTTGTTTAAAAACAGATTTACTGTACAAGTTTGACATGAGTACACAATGGTTTAAGCGAAGAGGCTCTCACCTATCTGACAGCCTACATTCCACAGCTCCTGTGGGTTGTAGTTGGAGGAGTCGGTCCTCATGCCACTGGGGTAGACCCTGCTCAGCTGTCTGCTGTTGTGGCGCACAAACTCCGCCCCTGAGAAAGACATAGCCATACAGTGACGCTTTTTCCCATCCCCTAACCCAGGGGACCTACAACAGTGAATGGGTGTGAATTCCTAACCAATGATCCTTGGCAATATATCAATACATTGTTTGCTATGTAGGTATTGCTAAAATTGTTCAGGGCGCACCTGTGTCCTTTGCAAGTTTCCTGGCCTTGGACTCAGAGAAGGAGGACATCTCGTAGCACTTGGAGTGCAGGCGAGAGTACTCAAAGCTGTGGAAATGAACACTCTTGCAGTACACCACCAGATCCGAGAGTTCCCTGGAGAACTTGGATTTCTGAAGAGACAGGGTGTGACGTGTAAGGGAACAAATATCACCTGCTTTGTGGCTATTAATTAAATCACGGCAAATCATGATTAGCTGGCAGGTCAAGGCACAGTGTTCATTGTTTGCTTAGTGTGTGATCTTTTTTGCAAAATGGCGGACTGTATTGTCAGTAATAATGTAGTAATGTATAAGTGTAATAGTTGGTGCAGATGAAGGCAAGCGTCCATCCTTCCACATACATCTGTCCAGCCACATACCTTATCATTGAGACAAAGGGCTTCTGCAGACGGGCTCTTAGGGTCAGTCTCATCTTCGTCACTGACCTCATCAGTGACCTCATCGGTCAGCGTTTCACTCTCTTCTAGGCCGCCAATCTTCTTCGCTTTCAGAAGGACCTTTCCCTTCAGATCCTTATGAGTATGCACGAATCCAAGGACACGAGCACACATACATACACACACACAAACGTGTATAGATGACATAATGTATAATAACTGATACCAATGTATAGATGATGTAATGTATTATAGATGACGCCAAAGGAAATACTGTACCATGATAGTGTCTCAAAACTCAATTTGAGTGTTCCACAATATGTTTTTGTTTTATCTGTATTTTGTATTGTCAATTATTGTATCATTGTGGAGTGACACTTTAATACATTTTTCTAACTAACTTTAGTCTAACACACACATACAAAAACACACACCTCAAAACACACACCTCATTGAATATTTCTAATTATTTAAAAATATATATTAAAATCACTGGAGACGTATGATTATACTGCTCCCAACATCACTGCTGGATAAAAACCTGAACATAGTCATAGATAGGAAATCAAATCCTTAGAGAATGTCTTCTCAATTCGACTTGCCTTGCTAAATAATTGATTTGCCTTGTTGAAGAATGGTTACAGTAGAGTAGATAAATAGAATAGAATAGAATAGAACAGAATAGATACACTTTTCTTGCCCAGGGACCCCCACCCAGGCAAACGGGCGACCCAGGGACCCCATCGTATGTTAGCAACAAAAAAAACACATCTTATCTTATCAGGTGAATGTAATCAACATTCTAAAATGAATAGATTTGGTAGACAATTTCATTATTTAGACCTCCTCACAGATCATTGGAAGAGGACCTTCCTATAACAATCTATTAACTAGAACGGTATCTTGGCTGCATAGAGAAAATGTTGCTGTTGTAAAGCTCATTTTCTGCAATTCTATGCATTTTGCCATGGCTCATGCTGTGTTCCTCTGCTCAAACATCATAACAAATTTCAATGGGCATGTGGCCTGAATGCCCGTTTTGGGATTTTTTTTTCTTCTCCCTGACTGTCTAGCTTTTATTTGATTGTTAGCGCTCAAAGATGGTATTATTTTTTAAATATTGTCACGTCTCCTCCCGTTGCTCCCCTCCGGCGCTCTGATTCGCCGGTCTACTGAGCCACCGGTCTGAGTGCACCACCTCGGCAACACCGGAATGGAAACCCAACGCACCCTAATCACCTCCAGCGCACCTGCACCTCATCCTCTCATCACCACCACTATATAGCCCTGGACTGTTCAGTGTTGTGTTGTATGTGATTGTTAGTGTCATGTCGTGTACTCGCTGTTGTTGTTCTCTTGCTCAGTGTTAAGTAAACCTCTACATTGTTGATTCCTGCGTCTGTGTCCTGCCTCTTTGTATCCTCAGTACTCGTCACAAATATATATAGTTCAATATCTTTTCTGCATGCTTTCAATCTGTTTTTTGTTGTTTTAAATTACCACTTAGATGGCCTTCCTAATAATTTTCTATAAAGAAATAAACCTGTAATTAACACCAATGATTGTAATTTCCTCCATATTAAAGGGATAGTTTGAGATTTTGGCAATGAAGCCATTTACCTACTTCAGTGTCAGCTAGCATGCTAACTGTTCTTGTAGACTCATTGCGCTATCGCTAGTTAGCATTGGCTTGTGAAAGTACCTCTAACTTCCTTTATACTGGACGCAGAAACATAAAAATGGTATCCACGATGGTACACCCAAAAATCCCCAACAAATTATCCCCCCACAAAAAAAAGTGTGGACCCCCTGCACTACCAACCGGAACCCTAAGGTCCAGCGTTGGTCTTACCTGGGGAGAGGGCAGCTCTTGGGGAACCAGTCTGTCGAGGGGAGCCCTGAGCAGTGTGTCCCCCAGGATGGTGTCCAGAAGCTGGGCCACGACCCTCTGCTGCTCCATGCTGCAGTGGTTCTCCAGGGACAGGATGACAGGAAACTCAGACACCTGGGACACAGGGAGAGGGGACAGACGGAATGCCTAAAGGAATGTGTTGAACTTTTACAGTCGTTTTTTTACAGTCGTTTTTCTGAGAAGAGGTGAAGTAAGGCTGAAGACAGGATATTTTATGATGCTGCTGCTGCTTCAGGAAGTCGTCCAGCTCAGCAAGGGTTAATGTCTGTCCATCCCGAGAATAGTCCTGGAACACCCGCCACACGTTCTCCCTCTCCGTCAGCATCTTGTAGAACTGGACTTGGTTGAAGCAAAAACCAATACAGAAGACAAATAACCAGAACCAGTAAGAGACTGGATTAGATTTAGAGTTGGGGATAGAGCTGCTGTGGTCATGATGGCTACAGTTAATTAAGCTATTGAAATGCCCACCTTGAAGGCGTACTCCCCCAGTGTGGTGATAACGTCTCTGAAAAGGATCTTGGATGTGAAGGTGTGGCCGTGATAAACAACCGGCTCTCCATTTGGCCCATCCCAACAGTCCACCTCGACGCAACGGCAGCCACGCTTCAGAGCCCTGCACAGAGCACACAGACAGCGGTGTATATCAAAAGCTGTTTGAATAGGGCCTTACTGCCATGTAAGTTTTGAGTGTTTTGTTCCTCACTGGATGTAGGCCTCCTGGCTGCTCTGTCCTCGGAGCTGGTCCTCCATCAGGTAGGTGTTGTGGGAGGAGCAGATAAAGTAGTGGCTGAGGGGCTGGCTCATGTCCTGGTGCAGGGTCAGACACTTGGGATCCAAGACAGCACCCTCCGGAGAGACCAGGTATGTTTGGAAGCCATCTATAGACATGGCCCCGTGTTTCTTGGCTGTGAGAAGACATGGGAAGTTCTGTCTTATTATAAGTCAACCCAATCAGAAAATGCTCAGTAACTACATCTCTCTGTTGATTGTGGTTGACAATGGCAGTTGATTACAATTGACTATGGTCAGTATAAATGTGGTCAATCATGGTTACTTGTTAAAAAATTAGACATTCAATATACAATACTTAACATAAGTACAAATATATATGTATATATATAACAAATATCTTTCTTATTGGAACCCCCCCCCCCCAACAAACAACAAAGTCAAAAAATTAATATATATATATATATATATATATATATATATATATATATACAATATTACAACATATTTTAAATGAATCATGGTTACTTGTTGACCGGCCATTGTGGGCTCTTGTGGTTGACTCAGGTAGACTAGGTAATGATCATTGTGGTTGTCGTTCATCATGATTGACATTGTCTTAATGAGGCTATTAATGATCTCATTCATATAGTTGACTGTGGTTGACCACAGTTGCACAGTGGTCCTTACCATTCTCTGAGGGTTCATAGCGGTCAATCAGCTCCTGGGCGTGCTCCTGACTCCTCTCCCCCTCCTGCTGCTCCTGCTTCAGGAAGTCCTCCAGCTCAGCGAGGGTTAATGTCTGTCCGTCCCGAGAATAGTCCTGGAACACCCGCCACACGTCCTCCCTCTCCGTCAGCATCTTATAGAACTGGACAAACTCCTCGTTCTCCAGATAACCTGACTCTGACTTGTCAGCCATCTGGGGGTAAAAGCAAAGAGCAGAATAATTGTCTACTTCAGAGAAGTGGTGTTCCCATGACACCTTATGATGGTAGACCACTGACAGTGTACTCGTTTACGATGACATCATAGAAAATAAACCAATGCTGGGGTTAATTCCACCACTTACAACATCCACATTTAACTACTGCTCACAATACTTTAAGGCTGATTACATGTAAAAAATCTATGGATTTGCATGCGAGTACATGAGCATATGCCTAAATACCAAATGAATGGGAAAGATAAGCACCATCCCATTCATTTGTGATTGAGAGACAAATAGCTGTATCTATACAACAGTTAGCATGGGAGATGGACTCAATTCAAAAGCGAACAGTAGATAATGATGGGAACCTCACCGTGAAAAGGCGAAGAGCGTACTCCTCGTTCATGTCCACGTTCATCATCTTCAGCAGTGTGCGCACCTCCTTGAAGTTCATCCGTCCATCCTTGTTTTTATCTGCCTTTTGAAACCAGTCCCAGATCCACCTGAGAACAGGAAGACGCTGGCTAAGGGCAATACTTTTTTTCCCCCTCTACCCTCAACCTCTCCGATCATTTTCATGATGTCTAAGGGCAACACTTAGTAAGAGATTATATAGAATGGAGCAACATTATAGACAGTCATTGGTTTGTATGGTTGATCAATCCTTATATTGTATTTAATGCTGAGCATGGAACAAGGATACTGGTCGAGCCTTTCCTTGTCATTCATGCTCTCAGTGTTCTGGATCAGTTTGCGTATGCCCCGGATCCAGACCTGCGCCTCGGACGGCGACTCCGCCACTAGGTCCAGGTTGCTGCGGCGACCACGGAACACCAGGGTGAAACAGAGGTCAGCTGGGAACTCATCAGCGATACTCAGCAGGATCTCCGACTGGTGACCCTCGCGCACCACCTCCACATCAGCCACAGAGACTAAGAGGGAACATTAGGCATCATGTGAAGACATACTTCGGCTTTTTCCATGCTAAAGTGAGAAATACTATGCTGTCTCCTCCCTGCTTCCTCCACCCACACCCACACACTTGCAGTACTCACAGGTGGAGTGGCCTGTCCCTGCCCACCTGGACTTGTACCAGATGGTCTGGCCATCGTCCTGCAGGTGGAAGTGCCGCTGCTTCTTCCAAGAGCGAGACTTGACCTTCCTCAACATTGCCCCTGCCTTCATCACCTGGAGGTCCTCGTCACCCTGGGCAACTGTGCAGGATCAGGGGTTAGGGGTCAAGGCTGGGGTCAAAGGTAATCTTGACCGTCCTTACAAATACAGTCATAATCAATTTAGACCTCATGTTGGTTCTCTATTCTGGTTAATGGAGGCTGATACTGTCACACCCTGATCTGTTTCACCTGTCTTGTGCTTGTCTCCACCCCCCACCAGGTGTCTCCCATTTGTTCCCATTCCCTGTGCATTTATACCGGTGTTTACTGTCTGCCTGTTGCCAGTTTGTCTTGTCTCGTCAAGCCTACCAGCGTGTTGTTCCGTACTCCTGTTTTTTCCTAGTCCCTGTTTTCTAGTCCTCCCGGTTCCAACCTTTTCTGCCTGCCCTGACACTGAGCCCGCCTGCCATACCATTCAGTCTGCCCTGACCTTGAGCCTGCCTGCCACCCTGTACCTATCGGACTCAGACCTGGTTTACAAACTTCTGCCTGTCCTCGACCTGCCTCTTGCCTGCCCCTTGTATTTGAATACATATCAGAGACTCGAACCATCTGCCTCCTGTGTCTGCATCTGGGTCTCATCCTGTGTCGTTATAGATACAGTATCTGTATTCCAAAATCATTTTTGAGATTTGATCAGAAGAAACTAAATTGTATTATTGCATTATTGATGCAACCTCATGCAACCTTTTAGTATATGTCAACTTACACAAGCTTTGGGGAGAATCCATTGCTAGCCTTGACACATGCCTTTGGGAATTTCCTGCAAAAAAATAAGACAAAAATAATTGCTGTGATACATATTATGCTGTGATAGTGAAAAAAGTACATAGGTGTTATAAAATAGCGGTAGTAAGATAGTTCCCTCCCTACTTCCTGGTCAGTGTGGACCACCATGGCTGAATAATCGATCTAACTGTGTCATCAACATTTTGGCTGGGTTGCATGCAGAACTCGGAAATCCAATCAGACTTATGCTTTCTCTTTCTATCTACTGATTAGCTAAGAGGGAGAATGGTAGAAGATTGACAACCCAAAACTTGGCATTTCTTACAGTCGGTGTGCTGCGTGGATTCAAGCAGTATAGGAGTGAATGCAGATTAACTAGGACAATACAGAGAATGAATCAGGTATCCCATTCATGAATCTAAAAAATCTCACCAAAAGTAACAGGTTACTCTCCAATTCATAGCTGAATTCTCAAGTCATATGCCAGAACTGAATTGACTCCAACCCTATTCTCTATGTCCCTGTGTTAGTATGACAACTACTTTTGGCTCTGCTATCAATTACAAGTGGATTAGCCTTTGGAAGAAAATATAGTCAGCACCAATCAGCTGTCTAGTCCCCTAGGGAAGAGGTGCTCAACTCCTCACAGAGAGGAAACTCACAAGGACTTATTGTATAGTTAAAATGGCTACTCTTCCTTTTTTGGCTGTAGAATGTCTCCCTTTCATCACATTGTCATTTTACAACCAAATTTTGATTGTATATTTTCTAGTTTTTTTTGCAGCAAGGTCAGTTGTTCCACAGTTGAAAATACCACAGATGCTTTTTATCCCAGCCCCGCTGTTAGTTTGTGAGCAAAATATCAACTCTTTCTTCAGCAATACAACTGTAACTAAAGCATTGTCCCTGAAGTACTGCAAAGAAACGATCCGTTTGATACTTTTTAACAACACCAGTGATGTTGTTGATGTGTGATGTTTGTGAAAAGATGTGAAAGAATAGGAAGAGCTCTCACAAAGCAATCATTTTCCTGGACCCCTCCTATAACTACAGTATATTCTACACATACAGTACACGCTCATGTGTACACACAAAGTCATATGGTTCTAACCAGTGAATAAACTTCTATGTTATGTTATTTGGTGGGCCGTGGCGAGTGTTTTGGAAAGATAACTCTCTCAGGGGATATGACTAATACACGGCCACGTGCCAGAGGGTGTCCACCTGACCACACACACAGAGAAAGAATCCTGACTCACTGGCAAGTTGGTGTCATACTCTAAATGGGCTAGTCACACTAAAAACTACTCAAAGTATTACAGAAATACTGTTTATCAAGTGAAGTGGCAGCCTCATCATATGCCCATACAGTGGGGAAAAAAAGTATTTAGTCAGCCACCAATTGTGCAAGTTCTCCCACTTAAAAAGATGAGAGAGGCCTGTAATTTTCATCATAGGTACACGTCAACTATGACAGACAAATTGAGGAAAAAAAATCCAGAAAATCCCATTGTAGGATTTTTTATGAATTTATTTGCAAATTATGGTGGAAAATAAGTATTTGGTCACCTACAAACAAGTAAGATTTCTGGCTCTCACAGACCTGTAACTTCTTCTTTAAGAGGCTCCTCTGTCCTCCACTCGTTACCTGTATTAATGGCACCTGTTTGAACTTGTTATCAGTATAAAAGACACCTGTCCACAACCTCAAACAGTCACACTCCAAACTCCACAATGGCCAAGACCAAAGAGCTGTCAAAGGACACCAGAAACAAAATTGTAGACTTGCACCAGGCTGGGAAGACTGAATCTGCAATAGGTAAGCAGCTTGGTTTGAAGAAATCAACTGTGGGAGCAATTATTAGGAAATGGAAGACATACAATACCACTGATAATCTCCCTCAATCTGGGGCTCCACGCAAGATCTCACCCCGTGGGGTCAAAATGATCACAAGAACGGTGAGCAAAAATCCCAGAACCACACGGGGGGACCTAGTGAATGACCTGCAGAGAGCTGGGACCAAAGTAACAAAGCCTACCATCAGTAACACACTACGCCGCCAGGGACTCAAATCCTGCAGTGCGAGACGTGTCCCCCTGCTTAAGCCAGTACATGTCCAGGCCCGTCTGAAGTGCATTTGGATGATCCAGAAGAGGATTGGGAGAATGTCATATGGTCAGATGAAACCAAAATATAACTTTTTGGTAAAAACTCAACTCGTCATGTTTGGAGGACAAAGAATGCTGAGTTGCATCCAAAGAACACCACACCTACTGTGAAGCATGGGGGTGGAAACATCATGCTTTTGGGCTGTTTTTCTGCAAAGGGACCAGGACGACTGATCCGTGTAAAGGAAAGAATGAATGGGGCCATGTATCGTGAGATTTTGAGTGAAAACCTCCTTCCATCAGCAAGGGCATTGAAGATGAAACGTGGCTGGGTCTTTCAGCATGACAATGATCCCAAACACACCGCCCGGGCAACGAAGGAGTGGCTTAGTAAGAAGCATTTCAAGGTCCTGGAGTGGCCTAGCCAGTCTCCAGATCTCAACCCCATAGAAAATCTTTGGAGGGAGTTGAAAGTCTGTGTTGCCCAGCGACAGCCCCAAAACATCACTGCTCTAGAGGAGATCTGCATGGAGGAATGGGCCAAAATACAAGCAACAGTGTGTGAAAACCTTGTGAAGACTTACAGAAAACGTTTGACCTGTGTCATTGCCAACAAAGGGTATATAACAAAGTATTGAGAAACTTTTGTTATTGACCAAATACTTATTTTCCACCATCATTTGCCAATAAATTCATAAAAAATCCTACAATGTGATTTTCTGGAAAAAAAATTCTCATTTTGTTTGTCATAGTTGACGTGTACCTATGATGAAAATTACAGGCCTCTCTCATCTATTTAAGTGGGAGAACTTGCACAATTGGTGGCTGACTAAATACTTTTTTTCCCCACTGTATGTCTCCACTGTACATATAATAATTACAAGCACCCCTTATTATAAACACCTGTGATATATCCACAGGAACGTTCAATTTCCCCTTTCATGAAAGTTCTGTGCTCAACCCTCACAGGGCTGTTGCTACACTTCAGGAGGAGCTGTGTGACGAATCTTATAAACAAATTCAGGCCCACCAGTCTTTTAGCACGCATGTAAATTATGCTTGTGCCAGGGAGGGAGGCTGGCTGAAGGACAACAAAGTAGAACCAGATGCTGTAATATGAGACAGAATCAAAACAGCAACAGCAACCACAACACTAAACCACAACATGTGCTGAACACATACTGTAGTATAGGCTATGCCTTTTATTATCAAGATGAGGACAAATATAATTCGTTTTGGTAAAGTAGATTGAAGGATCAAAGAAGAAGTAATGACACTTACCAAATTGTAGACCTCTCCCTCGGGTCTTTGCCCTGGCTCTGCTGGGGCTGCCACTCCTGTGAAGAGCTCCAGAATAGATTGGGGATGTTTGGTGAGAGCCAGTCCAGGAAAGGGCTCAAGACCAGAATTAGGAAGTGCCCAAAGATAGCTGGCCCCCCCAAAAGAGATAGGGGTCTGGTGGAGGTAGCAGGCCCAGTAGAAAGCTCCAGAACTATGGACGCTTAGGGAGTGTCCCGAGACCACTAGCCAAGCACTGGGTTCAGGAGATGGGGAGTGTCCAGAGGAAAGCTGGCTCAGCGTATATGTCCTCTATGCTATACTTTGCCTGCTTCATCTGGGAAAACATTTCCCCAGTCAACACTGCCGCCTTCTGGTACACTCTTCACCCCCCCATCTTCACTATCCTTTGCTGTTTCCCTGTAGGCTGCCTCAGTATGCTGCCTCTCACTTTAAATGTATTGCTCGCTCCGTCTCCACACACAAATTCTCTCTCTCTCCCTTATCCATCAGCCGACTGCAGATTCGATTCACCCCTTTCCATTGTTTAAAGGACAGCAATCCAGACAGTCCTTGTGTTTACCTCGGCACAGACAGATTACAGATAACTCAGTCTAGGAGAGGTTGCCTGTGCAAGATTAAAATGCATGTAGAGCGCAGCATACAGTACTCCAGTTTTCACATACCCAGACAATCTTTTCCATACATACTGTACTTATCCCGTCAATTAGTTAACGTCTATTGCACATGCAGCCACGGTTTGCAGAGTTTATTGTCCAATATATTATTGTCCACTATATTGGTACCTACATTATGTAAGCGTCATTCCACCCTCCTGTGGACCAAACCTTGCTCTGGTATATATGGAAAACAATATAGTGTCAAATCCTGGAGTTTGGAGGTTGATGGTTAGGTTTAATGGCCTCTTTGCAACAAAAATGCAACCCACTTGTACTAGAAACATTTAAATAACTATTTTACAATGAAGATATTTTTTCTCTTACAGAACTGCTTTTGATCATAATCAATTTTCAATATCTACAAATGTCATGCTAGTTTTCATAATGCACACTCAGAATAGCATAAAATTGAGCGTTTCAGATAGGTGGATAGAACATTTGTTTAGTTGGCACTTGAAAACATTACACACATTTTAGCAGAGATCCTCTACGGATCCAATTTATTTACAAATGGTGTGAATCTCACAGTAAACAAAATGAAAATCCCTTGTATTGTTAATGGAACCTAAGGGGAAAATGGTAGGTTAAAAGCTGTTGAAGCAAATGTACAAGTGAGGTAGGGGAAACCTTTTTTGTTTTATTCAGTAATGACGTTGCACTTCAAGAAACTGCTCCCTGATCATTTCACGATAACTCGGAAATTCCATTCGAAATCTCAATTTCCAATATAAGAGAATATATCAGTTATTCCTTCAACAATTCAAGGAGGTAAACAGTTTTTGCTGAACAACTGAGAGTGGGGCTTTGTTTTGGAATACGTAACAGTGGATTTGTTCAACAAATAGCTCCTAAGAAAAAAGCTACCTTTCTGTTGATGCCTGGCCTGGCCTCAAGAAGTCAAGTAAATGGATTAAGGACATTTTTCCCAGAAAGAGCCTGTAGTTGTTTGTTTCTGTTCAGGAGAGTACAAAACATTGCGGGAGCACCATGCTTTTTAGCCAGTCTAAAACCAGGCCAATTTGTGACATCAATGTTGATGTCCTTTTTGATGACATCAATGTTAAACCTCATATTATGCGTGTCTGCTGAAATGTAACGCAAACACTTTCATAAGCATTTAGGAAGCATTGTGACAACGTCTCAGCGAGAATGCCATGAAAGCGGCAATTACAAGTCACTGAGTTTAAGATTGTTCACAGCATCATCCTCTCCTGGTCTTGGACAGCTGCTTAAATTGGACCGGTGCACACCATTACAGAGTACCGGCGCCTTTAATTTTCTACTATTTTGAGTACCGGCACCTCTTTCAGAATATTGGCTCTAAAATATTAACAGCGGTACTGTAAAATTAAAATGAGTATCGGCACCCTTTTCATTCCACTAAAAGCACTAGTCATGGTTTTCTTCTGTGGCTCTGTGCCAGCACGGTACCGTCCCTCAGGTAGTATTCAAGGGGTTATTAATGAGGTGGGCAGTCACTGTGCAGTCAGGGGGATGCCTCGGCCATCGGTCGCCGGGCCCTCCTGCAGGTTCTTGACCAGATGGGCCGGCCAGCGCTTGGTGGGGGTGTCGTCCTTTAGCACCTGGGCGAATGTGGCATCCCTCAACTGGTCGGGCAAGCACTGGCGCAGTGCCTCTCACGTTCTAGAGGTCAGATAAAATGAGTTAACAGAACACCAAACATACCAGCGACGTGTTCAGCAGGACACAACGTTGGCCAACTTTTAGATATATGCTATGTAGAACAAACACGCCTCTCTGAAGAAGGAATCATGTTGGCTATCTTCATGGCATTTCTGTCTGCAACGTTTGAAAACATTAGGCTACTGAATGTGTCCCAGGGCTGCAGAGCATTTTATTCCATCCCTCCTGCTCTTGTTCACTCCTCTTTGTGGATCTGAGACGGGTAGGTGTAAATGATACTGTAGAGCTGTATAGTTTCCGTCACATTGGTTTAACTTTTTTTCCAGTCCTAGCATGTTTGTCTCTGACACTGTGACCTCTTGGCTTAAACAACATTCATAGCATAGCTCCCCTCAGTGGACATAAAGAGACAAGAGAACAAGGGAAACTGCCACTTTCTAATATCTCATATATTGATTTACATTCTGCACATTTTCAACAGACCGAAAATAGTTGTTTTTTAGGCAAGATCATTGTGAGAAGATACTAAGACATTATAAGGGTGTTATACGTGCTTATGGCAAGTCTTACAGTGCATTTTAACGGCATCATAATGCATAAGCCTATACCCGCTGGCGTTAATTATAGTGTTGTTACCCCTCTTTATTTACCTTGGATTATCAGAGAGGCGAAGGTAGCAGCGTACAACTTGTTTCAGCAGACGTGTAGAGGGTTCCTTCGAGAGCTGCAGCACCATTTCCCCTGGAGACAAATAGAAGAAACAACAAGTTTGGGATGACACATACGGTCACTTCAAAGACATGGTATCATAGAAAAACGAATAATATTTACAAGAATCATTGCCAGAGAAGCGTTCATACGTCTGGCATATGTACGCCAGCCCGGTTTGGTCCAAAATGTTTTGGAGTATGAAAGTAGCATCCTGAGAGCAAGGAGAGATGGAGGGAGGAAGAGAGTGATAGGGCAGTTAAAAAAATCAAGGGGATGTGTGGTCACGTGGTATGATCATGTGCCCTTAATGGTGCTAGGTGCTCAGCCAAAATATACTAAAAAATGTTGTGTTCAAGTAAATGGAGGACTTTTATTTTGAAGCTTTTTGCGCTTAATGCAGCTAAAATATGCTGATTTCACTGCGCTTGTGTTTGCAAGAGGACATGTGATAGAGGTTCTTGTCATAGAGGAAGATAGAGGACTCCTTTTTGTATCTGTGCCATTTTAGCCAGATATATTAGAAAAGGAGGAGATAAGAATCCCAGTGGGAAATTGGAATCCCAGTGGGAAATTAATAGAGAATCATATAATCCTCCGCCCAGCAGACTGTCGACCAATTGCATTCATGTTGTCGTGCTACACCAAGCAGTTGCTAAACTAATCGTCACGTAATCCCTTCTAAAAGTCAGAGTAAGAGTCGAGAAACCTGCCTATTTTCCTTAGTTAATTATCTCAAATCCTGGAAAAGATTTGTAATGTTGAGCTTCTTGTTCACATAATTCATGTTCATGTTGGGTTTTTGTGCTAGCGCCCAATTGACTCCCATTGACACCTTGAAGGAGAGATCTCCTTGTCGGAGTTTAGCCAGAATGCACAGCACGGCCCATGGAGATTCCCATCTCCTCAAAAGTATCTCTGTTATAGCGTCTGTGACAGCATGGGCAGCACCATTGAGGCAATCTCCATTTTGAAGTAGTCAATTTTCTTCTTCACGATTGGCTGATTCCTCCTGGACATGACTCCAACAGGGTCACCAGGAGGGATCAGCCAATGAAGTTGGAAGTCCCACCCAGTTCACTACATTAAAATGGTGGAAGCCCACAATGAGGACTCGGCTGAGGTAGCTATACCTGACGGTCAAGGTTGGGAAATGGCGGAAGCAGATGTTTTGTTTGAATCAGATGGTGTGTCGGGTGGAGATGAGAGTAAGAAGAATTGGATTACAATGGCAAATGCAAAAGGAAATAAGAGAAGAAAAGTGGTAGTGGAATCTACTAAATCCAAGCCTAGTTCTGATTATTTTTTGGTCAGAATAATGGTTTTGGATCAATGTTACCTGGGAGATCCGTTTGAAGTCTCTATAAAAATTGTGGATGCATTGGGTAAGGTGGCGATGGTGAGAATAACGAGAAGTGGGTTTATTTTGTTTTTCTGTGTGTCTATGGAACAGAAGGAGCGTGCTCTGCACCTCAAGAAGATATCAGATTGGAATGTGTCGTGTGGATCTTCGAAGCAGGGCGCCGATCAAGGGTGTTATCTCTGTGTGGCACTAGAAGTGAATGCAAAGGATAAACGTGAAGAATTGGATCAAGTGGTTGGTGCACACCGATTGACCCGCATGGTGGATGGAGTGAGGTAGCCCACTCTATCCATTCTATTGTTTTTTGAAGAAGAGTCTCTCCTTTTTCACGTGTATTTGGGTTTTATGAGAACCTTCATGCCCAAACCCTTGGAATGTGATAAATGCAAATTATTTGGTAATGTGTCAAGTGAATGTAGAAGAGAGGAGTGTTGTATGCCAGCTGAGCCTAAATTCTGCAATTGTGGTGGTGAACATGCACCCATATTCCTGAAGTGTCCTGTTAGGGTGAAGGAGACAGAGGTGGCAAGAAAAGGGCTGTCCAGCATGTCTCCTATCCAGAGGTGGTGAGAAGAGTGGAAGAAAGGAGTGACGTTGAAGAACTACTGGTAGTAGGAGTAGAGACACCAGAGCATATTCCTTGTCAACAGAGGGATCCTGAAATGTTGCATGTAAAGAAGGTGGAAAATCGGAGGGAATAGACATCGTTGTGAGTGCGGCTGAGCGTTTTTCGGGACATAGGGATTTTACAGCAGAGGCGTTACAAGCAATCATGTCGACGAATGCTCCGTATTCACAGGCCCCTGAGCCTGTGTAGGGATGTTAATTGAATTGTGACTCACCCCCAGGGGGTGATCACGGTCAGGTGCAGACCAGGCCAGGCCATGGGTCCCCCCCCCCCCCTTTCCCGCAATGGAATATTTTAGTTTCACGACCCCTTACAGTAGGTGGCGGCAATACATCAGTCTGCCATAAAACCTCAAAGAAGAAGAAGAAGCCCACAATGGCGCTGTTCATGCTAATACGGTTTTGGCCACTAGAGGCCTCTATCATTGTCTTTGGTTCTCCTACATCATTTCCGCTGTACATTTTCCCATTCCCGCCATCATCTAGTATCGTAGGAAAACGTCGTGTGTGGACCACACCGTCAACAATATAATATTGGGGCCACCGAATGCCGGCAAAAACCAATTTACTACTTCCTAAGGACTTAAACAAATATTTTATACTTTAAAAGTTTCGGTTAAGGGATATTTCATTCAGGTAAGTGTTTCTTGTCTTGTAATTAAGTTTAGACGATGTTTTCATCTCCATCAAATGGCAAACAAGCGAATTAGCTAGCTAGCAAACGTTATATCCTCGGCCTTTTTAGTAGCCAGCTATCGTTAACTACGAACTTGCTCGTGCAGGGGAAAATGGCTAGACTCTAGGTTATGTGCAACTATCCAGTTGTGTTTTGCTGAGTTGATAGGGGGTGTCAATCTCATTTTATAAAATTCAGTTGGCACCGTTTTGTTAGCAAACCAACGTTAGCTGTACAGTCGCTAGTGGTGCATCACATCAGTTAACGTTAGCTAGCTAACTGACCCGCGTGTAATGGCTGGGTCCTCCCCCTATGCCCAGAACTGAGATAGGTTAGTTAACTAGCCATAAGAATCCGACTAGAGAAGTAATGAACGTCTAGTCGGATTATTATGGCTACTAACTAGCTGATCTGACCATCCACATTGAACAAGTAGATGATACAGTTGAATCTATGAACTTAGCTATTTGTCATGCAATGGGGGCATAACGGTACGGTAGCTAAACATCGTTATGTCAGTTCAATTATTTACCAGGTAACACTAACTAGTTAACATCGCAAACTATTCTGACATCCAGCTAAAACCCTAAACTTACAGAGCCATCTGAGAGCATACCTATCTAACGTTAGTTCCCTATGCAAATCAACTAAACTTGTTAGCTAAATTTCAGCAATTAGATTTACACCTGTCTGGAATCTCAAATTCAACACGTTTTGTCCAATACGTCAAGATAGGGTAACCATATTGTTATGATATTGTCAGGGCTGATGTAGAACACAGATTCAAATAAAAGTAACATTTATGAAATGAATATCAATATTATACAAATTAAGCACTTAATATGGAAATAAGGCAGTACGGATTACATAATTACAGTAATTTAAGCCCAATTTAAGGTAGGATGGTCATATTATTAACAAATCTTCATGCTTTATGCAAAACTGAGTTGAATTTGAACGATTGAAACAATTTATGAAGGTAAACTTTCAATATGACTTTATGCAAATTAGATACGTAATGTAATATGCTAATTCGTTTATACAGAATCATTTATAAAAATTACAGCATGTGAAATCCATTCAAAGTCAGGTGGTCATATTATGCAGAACTGGGAGTCTACACTGAGCAGTAATGTGCCACCCATGTGCATGCGTGCGCACGCACACACCAGTGGGTGGTAACAGAATACATATAATTTGGATTACATGATCATGAACAAAAAGCAGTGTTACTATTTACCAATCATTAACAGTTATGCTGTATTCAGTAGCCCAACTGATTAGGCCTATAGTGCCAAATAATATGCCCAAACCTGTGCCCGTGCCACCTGCATACCAAGGTTTCCTAGACGTTTTTTGTCAGATATTTTATTCTATTTTTAGAAAAGCTGGTAAATAAAATTGGCACCGGCCAATTATCCAGGAGAAGAAGAAAAATCCCAGTGCGAAATAATGCTTTTTAGACTATTCATTGATATAAATACCAGTCGATGGAAATGCATTTGACTGGTCGTGCTGATCGGTCTAAAGGTTAATTTGCATAATTTAGTGGAATTAAGTTGGCGCGTGTGTACAGGAGGCTATATTCGTTATGTATCTTATTTATCACACGCATACAGATACAGAGCCTTTGAGTGGAAAATATATCACAGTGCAAGAGCTGCTGGTGCAGCATCTTGTGGTGCTTTCAAAACAACTGGGAACTTGATTTTTCACAGTTGTCTTGAACGTGGCATCAAACGGGAACAGAAGGCAGGCTTCATCCACGTGTCACACACCTCTTTGCAATGAGCTGGAGGCAGTATGAATTTTGAGAACATATACTTATACTGAACAAAAACATAGACGCAACAATTTAAAAGATTTTACTGAGTTACAGTTCATATAAGGAAATCAGTCAATTGAAATAAATAAATTAGGCCCTAATCTATGGATTTCACATGACTGGGCAGGGGTGCGGCCATGGGTGGCTCTAGGAGGGCATAGGCCCACCCACTGGGGAGCCAGGCCCAGCCAATCAGAATGAGTTATTCCCCACAAAAGGGCTTTATTACAGACAGAAATCCCATTCAGAGACTTGTCCCGAAGCCAATCCTGCATTGTCTTGGCTGTGTGCTTAGGGTTGTTGTCCTGTTGGAAGGTGAATCTTCACCCCAGTCTGAGGTCCTGAGCGCTCTGGAGCAGGTTTTCATCAAGGATTTCTTTGCACTTTGCTCTGTTCATCTTACCTTCGATCCTGACTAGGCTCCCAGTCCCTGCCGCTGAAAAACATCCCCACAGCATGATGCTGCCACCACCCTGCTTCACCGTAGGGATGGTGCCAGGTTTCCTCCAGACGTGACACTTGGCATTCAGGCCAAAAAGTTACAACTTGGTTTCATCAGACCAGAGAATCTTGTTTCTCATGGTCTGAGAGTCCTTTAGGTGCCTTTTGGCAAACTCCAAGCAGGCTGTGCCTTTAACTGAGGAGTGGCTTCCGTCTGGCCACTCTACCATAAAGGCCTGATTGGTGGAGTGCTGCAGAGATGGTTGTCCTTCTGGAAAGTTC